ACGGATTGCCTATCGCAGCGGAAGCCTTAGAAGTCGGCTTGGGGAATTATGACGTGCCAATTGATGGCCTTGTTGGCACTGAGCAGGTGTTCCAGGTAGAGGAAGTTATCATTCACCCAAATTACTCTGACCTGCAAGTGGACATTGCCCTCCTCAAGATTCCCAAGGAACTGAACATTACAAAGTACACACCTGTCTGTCTGGTTAGCGATCCAAATGAAAGTCTCGTAGGCAAGACCGGCCTTATGATTGGACTGGACTACTTGACGGGGCTCTGGGATCAGGAAGTACCTATTGTCAGCTCTACAGAATGTGAAGATCCCGAGAAGCTTTGCGCTAGATTTCCCGGTAACGGAATGTCCATCTGCCTTGGGGACATGGGCGGCCCATTGCTTGTTGAGAGAGAAACGAAGTTCTTCCAGGCAGGCATTGCCCTCTATGGATATGACTGTGAGTTGGTTGGCACGGAAAGGCCTTATACCAACGTTGCTCTCTATTACCAGTGGATCATCAGTAACACCGCCGATGCTTTGTACTGTGAGGAAAACACGCTTCTGTGATGTAGATAAAGAGAGGAGCAGGGAGATGCAGACTTATAGATACGACAGGAACACATTGGAATATAAATAAATTGATTTGGATATGATAAGGACTTGAAGAGATGCCATGAACGTCACATGAAACTGCTGTTGCCTTTATTGTGATTTCTCCAGAACTCGTACTACAAACCGGTGGACGATTATCCTATGATAATTAAACTTATAAATCTCTATGTTTAGTGTTTTATTTAATCAGAGCAATACTAACGAGCAAATGATCGCACGCGTTTTCATTTGTTTCCAATACCTTCCGATGCCAATTTGTTTTTTTAGGTTTCAACATGCTCTAAATAATAATGAACATTTTATTTTTTTTAATTTTTATTTTTGCATGTCTCCTGTGGAAGTGGTTGATTAAAAACATATATAAATGAATGGGTGATCTCTTATTGAGATAAATCTACAGTAATGTTATCAAACAAAATGATAATGATTTAATACATCACTACTGTTAATAGGTGGGCCACCTATTCAGTTGGCTTTATTGTAAGTATTACAAGACAAAAAAAATAAAATAAAAGAAATGTTTTGGTTACGTACAAGAGAAAAAGGAAAAGGTAAATTATAAACATTTCAGGCTCATTTCTTCAAAAGCTGTGCTCAGTGTCTCTGGTCATTCTTTCAATGTTAACTCGAAAACCATACGGAACATTATTCTGCGTCACCGATCACTAAACATTTAGCCGAAAAAGATATGAGTAGCAGTATTTCTGTTGTGTGATTGATATCATTACTATCATTGTTACTTTTATTAATATTATTATCATCACTTACATTACAGCTAGTGATATTGTTATTAACAATTGTATTACCATCGCCGTTATTGTTATTATTACTATCAATTAAAGTAGAAGGAAAGGAAGAATTTCAGGGAAATGAAGTTGAAAAAGGAGGAAAAAAGGAAGAGTAGACGGAGGTAGTCCAAGAAGGAAAAAGGGAAGACACAGAACATTGTTTCCCACCGCATGGCAGATGTATTAAGTCTGCAAGCTCTTCAAGATGTTTAAAGACCACTGAAGGAAGTCTATTGCAAGTCTGAGAGTTTAAAGACCGCCAAGGAGTGACAAGATGAAGGAGCAATGCAAGTATCATAAAACATACGATGGCGTGGTATACAGCCTCTCTTCACTCCTCCTACGCCTGGCAGTTCCAATGATCCCATCTATTAGCATGTTTGTGGACGACGATTTGACATCGCTTGTACAGCAGCCATGTGCCGGTGGGACTGGACAGATGGCAGCCCCTGATGAGGCGAGGGCGGCTGCCAAAAGGCCCCTTGTTTCCTGACGCGGCGATCGGTCTTCCCTGATCGTAGGCCTGGATTTCCAGGAATTTCTTCTGTGCGTAACCCCCCCCCCCCTGAAATGAATGTCAGAAGAAAGAAAGAGAAAAAAGAAGTTAAGAGGAAAAAAACGACGAAAAAGAAAGAGGAGAAAGAAAGCGGAAGGATGGGAAGACGAAGAAGAGATGATGAGAAATTAAGAAAAAGGCGAAGAAGGATGGGAATGAGAAGAAGAAAAGGAAGTGGAACGAGATGAAGAAATATCACTAGAAAAGAAAGAAAAGGAAGAAGAGAGATAGGAATGAAGAGTCGAGGAATAAGAAGCATGATATTAATAGGAGGAAACGAGAGGAGAGGCCATCCAACCGCGTGCATCCGTCGGGCCGCCCACTCCTCCGGCCGCCCACTCCTCCGGCCGCCCACTCCTCCGGCCATCCCAGTCCGATCAGCCGCCGTATCAACAGGCGGGCTCGATGCCATGCGACGCCTGAGGAACATGCTATCCCCCGTGGCGCCCGTCGGCTGGAATTCCGGCAGGCTTGGAATGGGAATGCCGACCAAACGCGCGGTTCTCGAGCGAACCGCCGCCGTGCGCTCTCCGCAGGCGCTGATATCGGCA